AGTCCTCATGCTAAAGAAACTCTCATCTGTCCTAAGGAAGACGTTTTAATGAGCGAGACACACAAAAAAAGTTTTAATCACGCTAAACATCTGCTGCTCTACGGTGAAACGTCTCAGAGCCCCCAACAGCAAGATTATGTGATTTATATAGCAGCAGTCCGCTCTCTACTGCTTCCTGTTTGTTGGTTACCAGCCAAATGGGACACGCCGGCCGGAGAGATATCGTGAACGGGAACCAAAAAGAGGCTTCATTGTCCCATGCTTTGACAGATGTCCCAGTGTTGGACAGATAAATCTTCTTTAGTGGCAATCAATGTGCCATTTCACCCAAGAACAGCCGGTGCATATCTCTTTCTATAATTAATGTGCCAGAGATGGTTAGCTTTGCAATCTGCATAACGGACATACCCATAGACACACAGAGCTGGCTGAATGAGTATAATGGTCTAAATGTTTGTTTTCTGGAAATATACCCATAAAACATGAATGGTTCTGGGGGTTTTCCAGTAATTAAAGTTATTCTGTCTGAATGACTGGTTGATTTTCAGAAGCAGTTTGAATTTGTTTAGCATAAAGAGTGAAAGCAGGAGAAATTAGCATTAGAGGATTCCTTAAAGGATTAGCATTCCTTTAAGGAATGCATGTCACCTGCTACTTTTTGAGATTTGAAATAAAAACGTACGTTGAGGAATGAGTTGTGTGCATTTTCAGTCTGTGAATCATGAATACGTCTGTGAGAATGAACCAGAACTGACACGTTTCCAGAGAGCAAAGCCAAGATTTTTGGTGAAATTGTGTGTGAAACAGGGAGTAAATAAAACACTTGTCAATATGTCATCGTAAGTGCAATAAAATGTGGCAACTCTGGAAGATGGATTTTCAAGTGACTCATTGGAGAATGGCATCTGGCCCTGTAAGCTGCCAAAAAATAAAACATTTTAAACAGGCAAATACAGAGTTTTACCCACAAGTGTTTCCAGCTTTTAACTAATTTCTTACACAAAATATATAAAATCTTGTGCAGCTAATAGCCTCTTGGGAGTGGTTCTTATGCGGTTCATTGTCAGGTCACACCAAAAAAAAATAGGCTACATTCAAACCGTTTTCTTCTCAAACAGCCATTTCTGACTTGAAAATCATACGTTCCAGGTGAGGCAACTACATCTGGCTGCTGACCGAGTTCACAGCAGAACATGGCTTACAGGCTCCACGCCAACCCATTCTTTCTGTCATCTCATTACATCCGGACGCTTGATCTCTTGGCATCGAGTTGCAACACAGACGGAAGCCCTCCAGCATCATTTCTCAACACTCAGGGTGGTCTGACAGATTCAGCTAAACTCCCTGAAGCTTGTTGCAGAACAGAGACATGTCCCTCGTCTATGCTGGCTCTACAGTATCCCGCTCCATGCTGCAGGTGTGCTGGTTTTGCAGTTACCACACTGACAATAGCACATTGATGAAAGAAAAAAAAGGACGTGGAAAAAGATAGCGATTATGTTTTCAAATTGCAAAAAATAAAAAATAAAGAGAAAAATAAGTAGAAGAATTGAATTTCTGCCCAGACTTGTGCTCATTGAGCATAATGAAGAAATTGTGTGCTCGTGATGAGGTGTAGGCAGCTGGAGGTAATGGCTGTTAAATGTCTGTTTTCTGCTGCGCTGCGGTTTGTGTTCGACAACAAAGGGCCGTGTTTTTAGAAGTGTTGCAGCGAACTCAATTACTCTGCGTTTAATGAACTGTGGAGGTTTGCAATGAACCAAAGTGGCGCAGACGAACGGGGACGGTGCAGATGTCTGCACGACTGGCTTTCACCAGAAATGTTGATTTCTTGCACAGCTGCCTGGCTCTAGATTTATGTTTGGAGTTTGTTTGTTTTTTTACTCCAGTTTTATAGGAACAGTTATAGGGATGCAGATAAACGGGGAAACAGCCGAAGCCAAAAAAAGGCATCTGCAAGCCCAGCGACCATTATGGCTCATGAGCCAAATGCAGTCTATGAGCTCAATTCATTCTTCCCTTAATGTTTTATAAATCAATTGCAATGTGGATCAATAATCAGCTCACTTGCTCTTAGATCTGAGACAGTGACACATGAGGAAAAAACTGAAACTGAGCCTTTTTGGTACTTTAGTTTGGTTTAGTTTTTTTTTTTTGGCACAGTGAATTTGGAGTCCAGACATAAAATAAATAAACTTAAACTGGCCAGAATCAGCAAAAACGTGGCTAATCAAAGGCTGACCTTTCAGTTGAGTTTACAGAAAGATTCTGGAACTTGAGCAAGTTTTGTTGATGACCTCTGTACAATTCAGAACCAATCAGACCCCTTCCTATCCATTTCCATCATCAAAATTTGTGAGATAGCCAATTCATCTCATTTAGGAAAAAGGAAAGGCAAAAAGACTCCTTTAACATGGAGAGTAAATTTAAAAAATAAGAAATTTGATGGGAACCAGGAAGTTGAAGCTGGAATGACACCAGATTCTCTAAGACCTTAAATAAATATACTTTAGAATGTCCTGATGCATCTCAGTAATCCAGGTAAAAAATCAAAAAGAAAAAAATTGTATAGGTCCTCTGGACGGGTTCTTCTCTAATGAAACGTTTCGTCTCTRCTCCAAGAGACTTCTTCAGTCTGAGAGTTCCATGCAAAATTCAGGCTTTTAAGCACTGCCTCCATGTGACTGATACTKACATCACATGGCTATCGTTGACACCTAATTAGCACTCCATGACTCCATGAGACTCCATGACTCCATGCAACATTCAGGTGAAAATGAAGACCCCAAACCCAGACCCAAACCAGTGGTTATTCCGTATGTTGCGGGTGTTTCGGAGAAACTGAGACHTTTATTTTCTAAACATGATGTCCCAGTGGCTTTDAAACCCCAAAACACATTACGGCAAAGGCTGGTTCACCCCAAAGATCCGGTGCCCCGGCACAAACAGAGCAATGTTGTATATGCTGTTAAGTGCCAGGAGGACTGCGACCAGTTACACATCGGGGAAACAAAGCAGCCACTGTTCAAAAGAATGTCCCAACACAGACGAGCTACATCTAATGGCCAGAACTCTGCAGTTTTCACTCATTTACAGGCCAGCGGTCACTCTTTCAGAGATGAGGATGTTCTCATTCTTGATAGAGAGGAACGTTGGTTTGAGAGAAGAGTAAAAGAAGCCATTTTTGTGAAGAAAGACCGTCCATCATTAAACAGAGGTGGAGGCCTCCGTTTTCAGTTGTCCCCCTCCTACAGTGCGGCTATTGCCAGTATCACTCCACACCCTGTTAACAATAGGTGCTAATTAGGTGTCAACGATAGCCATGTGATGTGAGTATCAGTCACATGGAAGAAGTGCTTAAAAGCCTGAATTTTGCCTGAAACTCTCAGACTGAAGAAGTCTCTTGGAGGAGAGACGAAACGTTTCATTAGAGAAGAACCCGTCCAGAAGACCTATACAATTTTTTTCTTTTTGATACTTTAGAATAGTTTTTCAGATGTTTAATCTTGCTAAAACACCAAATTTTTATCTTGCTGCTGTTTAACTCATTTTGCTTTTTATTATATTTTTAAATTCACTTTGCTAATAGGTTTAATTAATTAATCAATTAATTAACCAGGCAAATCCCATTGAAATCACAGGTCTCTGTTGCGAGGCAGCCTGGGCTTAAAGGCAACCGATTGTACATATTTTTTGGGGTGTTGGGGAAACTGGAGTATCCTGAGAAAATGAGAACATGCAAACTCCACTGAGAAAGACCCCAGGTTCGAAACTGGGGATTGTACCCAGGACCTTCTAACCACTGAGCCGTCGTGCTACAGGTTTGTTGTTTCTTGATTAAAAAAAAAGACAAGTAGGCCGGACTTAAAAACCCACATTAGGCCTGAGTCACACTACAAGATTTTAAAACAGTCAGACGATTTTCTGAGACTGAGAGAGCCCACACGTGAGGGTAAAAAATCATGGATATAACCAGGTTTGGTCCTACAGTGTGTGGTGTACAGTCATACTGCAAGAGACAACACACCACACACGAAAAGATATTTCATTCAAGAACATTCAGATGTCAGATTTTAAATCACGCGAGACTTCCTGAAATCTCGCGAGAATTCATATGTCCGAGGAAAAGTCTCACGTGACCTCCAGAGAGACATGAGTAAATAAACATTTGCAACAAGAAAGAAACTGTTGATCGTTTGTGGACTATTTTTACCAGAGGAAAAACAATTTCATAGGACTTTTAACATCCAGCGGACTTTCTGGTGAGTCATGACAGTTTTTTTGTCCTCTGTATTTTGGAATCTCCTCCGTGTTTATGTCACCTCGCTTTCTGATTGGCTACACGTCTCATTCAACAGTCTGCGAGCTCAGGTAAACACTACACACACTGTGATATCGGGCCAAAAAATCAAACATGTTGAATATATCCGATTTGAGTTTGGAGCGGTCCCGACGTCCTTCCGAGCCGACTAGATCACTCTTAACTCACCACCCACAGCAGGAATATCTGCTATGATTATCTTTAGAGCCATCACGTTAATCTGGACTTCCTTAAGATTGTCGGAGGGGCAAAAATTGGCCTGATTTTCTTGCAGTGTGACTCAGGCCTTACTGGTGCACAGGTTCTGGTTCCAAAAATAACACATGGCTGTGCTCGTAAAACGAGACGTCAACACTTCTGTTTTAAACAACTGAAGATGATGGAATTTCAGGTCAAGTTTTATATATAAACATGGTCTCTAAAACCTTCATGTCTTAATAAATGTACAGGAAATATTCCAAGGCTGATTGTATAGGAAATATTTTTTATAGATTTGGAGAAAAATGTGTACATTTTTTCATCAAAAATTGAACATATTGGTGTAAGAACCTATCTTACTGTTGCTACAACCAACATTCACAACCAGACAAAGCTTTTGTTTCAGGTATTTATTTCAGTCTTGACAGACCCTTTGAGGTTTGGGGGGTTATAGTTTCTCTTTCTGTGTTTCTGAGCGTACCTGTCTGAATGATTGGACTGACGCCTGCAGGGCACAGTGTTGCGGACACACGTGCCGGTTCCCGGGTCCACGTTCTCCACCATGACGAAGGGATGCTCCTCCAGGGTGGCCACAGTCAGGTGACGGTCGTCAGATACGTGCTCCAGGAAGCTGCCGTACCGCGGCCAGATGGGGTAGCGAACCTGAAGGATGCCGCGAGCGAACGTTCCCACCTGAACAGGAAGCGTGGGAGAGAGAGAGAGAGAGGGACAGCTCATTGGTATCAGGAGCATGGATGTTTTGAATCTGAGCTCTGACCTTCATGACAACCTTTTTTCTCTTCAACTGCCATTCCCTTCGGGGCTTTGGGGAGTGTTTATTAAATTATTTAACATTTGCATGTGCTGACCTGGAGAGAAGAGGTTTCAAAGATAAAAGGAGAGTTGAAAGTTCATTAAAGAACTTTGAGCAGACAGAAAGAAATTTAAAAACTGAAATAAAGTGCAACCAAAATGCCTCAGTAATACTGTATCCATTTATGCTTTATTATTTTATTGACTTGTTGTTTTTGGGAGCCATCATTGATGATAAGATGACATGGAGACCTCATGTGAATTATTTAAGAACAAAAGTAGCTAAATCTATTGCATTACTATATAAAGTAAGGGAGTTGTTTAATGATAAAGCTTTGTCTATGTTGTATAATGTAATGATTGTTCCACATTAGGTTTACTGTGTTGAAGTCTGGGGGAAAGCATGTAAAACAATTACTAAAACTGCTTTAATTTTGCAGAAAAGAGCTATGAGAATTATTACAAAAAACATTATGATCACCCATCAAATACATTATTTTGTCAGTTGAAATTAATGAAATTCTATGAGTTGGTTGATTACAACATTTTGCAAATTATGTATAAGGCTCATAAAAATATATTACCTTTGAACATCCAATCAAATTTTGTTAAGAGACAAAGTTACTGCAATTTAAAAAGGGACAGAGGTGTTTGTGAAACCTAAAATCCAAACTAGTTTGAAGGAACGTTGTACTTCAGTGCAAGGAATAAAATTGTGGAATAATCTGGAGAATGATATTAAAAG